CTGCTACTGCTACTGCTACTAGTATTGCTGCTGCTACGACGACGACGACGACTACTACTACTACTGCTACTACTGCTACTTTTTCTTCTTCTTCTGCTTCTTCCTCTACCTGCTGCTACTACTACTACTACTACTGCTACTACTGCTACTTTTTCTGCTTCTTCTGCTTCTTCCTCTACCTGCTGCTGCTGCTACTACTACTACTACTACTACTACTACTTCCATCACCACCACGACAACGACGACTACTACTTCTTCTTCCTAAGGAATGGTTCGAGAAGGCTCAGCGCGAGCTTGACAAGGATTTGAGGTGCACAACTTTTTGGCACTGAGATTGCCACTCAGTGCATCGTGGTTGGGGTGATAATGGCTGTCGGCCTAGGTTGCGCAGCAAAATCAAAAGCATCACTAGTGCTAGTGGTGCTGCTGTGCTGCCGCTCTGATGTGTTGAGTTGTTCCGGGGATCTTGAGAGTTTTTTGGGAGGCTTCCTGGCAGGATGCAGGGTGTTTGTCAACTACGCACTGCGCAAACCCATGGCTCAAATCTCGGTGCTGAGTACACAAACTGTAAGGTTCTCTCGAATTGTCCCTTATCTTGTCCACACATTGCCGGGCTCGGGGTGTGGGACAGTGCGGGTGAGCAGCTGGGCCACAGCACATAGATGGAATTTGCACGGCTATCTTGTGCGAATCATCCACAAGCTTTAAGCCCTGGAAGGTTGGCAGCCCCGCTCCGCGCATCTTTGTTGGCCCGGCGGGCAGCAGCCTTGGCGCAAGGAGCGATCACGCGAGAAGCAGGGGTTCCGCTCTGCGCATCTGAGAGTTTCGTAAAAATAGGGTCCTTGTTGAGGGGGTCGCTTTGTTGAAGATCCCATCAATCAGGCTCAGCAGTGTTTGAATCCTGTACTTTCCTGGAACTACTATCTAGGACCTGGATTCATGAAACGTTGGTGCATTGTGTTGTGACTTCGTCTTCAAAGGTTTCGGCATGTGAACATGTATTCATGGGCTTGAATTTTCTGATGGTTGGGCGATGGGCCAAGGTTTCCAGTCCAGCTTTCAGAAGAAATACACATGGGTCCTGGTCGTTTCTGCTGGAATGTAGCGGGAGGGTACAGAGGCAGTGGATGTGTTCTGAGTTAAGCACGCAGGTGCAGGCTGTTGCAGATGCATACATTTAGTGGTTGTCGTGGGCTTGTGCTTCTTGTTGAACGTTGTTGTTGTTGTTGTTGTTGAGCAATACAAAGCTGTACAAAAAGATGACCGTAGATGCAAATTCGAACTTCCGCCCGGTACAGGCGGCGATGTGCTTGAGGCGCTTGGCGAAGTGGAGGCGGCCATGAGACTCCTCCAAGGCCAGGCATTGGGATTAGTGTGTGAAGGGCTACTCGTGTATGTGTGTGTATATATATATACCTATGTATGTATGTGTATATATATATATACATATACACATATATATATATATACATGTGTGTGTGCATGTGTTTGTATGTATGTATGTATGAATGAATGAATGAGGGTTCATATGTATATGTGTCTGCATGTACGCGTATATTACACACCGTTTTGGGGAAGCAATGCCAGGTGGGTGACAGAGGAGTCCATGGTACCCGCGGTTGCATCGTAGTAACACTGCAATGCAATGCGATGTGAAAAATGCTCTGCAGCCGAGCGGGCCCAGCGTATTGTGTACAATAATGCTCGTGTACTCTTTTGCTTTTCCAATACGGCCGCTGATGTAAGTTAATAAGTATGTACATCTACCTATATATGTACACTCATAACTAATGTACAGACAGAACGAAGGGTACTTGTACAGTTGTACACATGTGAAAACAGATATAGATATAGGTATCATGAGAAATACCCGCATTAAATTAGCAAGTAATTGCATCTGTAAACGTGTAACATACATAGATCAGTGAAGCAATAAGTACACACATGTGTTTATGCAGGCAACCAAGCATGACCATGTACGAGGACGCGGCTACATCAAGACATACATGCAACATGCATACTTACACACATAGAAGAAGGCCTACATGTGTGTACAATTAAGTATAGAACATACATACATATTTACTGCATGTGTGTTTGCATGGTGAATCTTTTTAAGGCCCTGCCCTGAGCGAAGCCCAAGGCGACAGCGAGTCGCCAGAGGGGGCCTTGGTCCGGACGGTGCGCTGCGAGCTGCTGCTGAGGCCAAGCTTCGCTCGGTGAAGTCCGCGCAGCTCCGGGGGGTTTGGGGTTTCCATGAAGTGGGCATGTCTTTTACATTCTTTTACCGGGGTGAAGGCTCGATGCAACAAGAAGAGTGTTTTGTTGTTGTGCTTAAGGCACTGGGTTCTTCATTGTGAGCTGGAGCATTGGCCTGGCCATGCAAGAGGCAAAAAACCCTTCAGAAAGCCCACGAAACGAACGTTTGGATTCGCCCCTCGCTCTCGAAGTAAACGACAACGAAACCATCGGAAGCCGAAGGCGAGGCAACGTGAGGGAGTGTCCGTGTTTCATCTCATCTAGCTGGGCTGATCGGTCAGAGTCATCTTCGCGCAAAGTCTGGAAAGCTGGACCTTGTATGCAGGGCCGGCAAGCCGGACGATGCGATCCAGGCATGCCTGCTTCGTCGGGAGTTATAACTGTTGATACTGTAGCGGGATCCACTGCAGAAGGACTGGAGCATGTGACGTTTGAGCCGAGCGGGCAAACAGGTGGTGACTCAAGGAGCGTGCATTTTCGATTTCATACCCTCATATCCCCTTGTCAACTTCAGCTATATTTCTTCACGATCCAACCGTTCCCCTCTCATTCACCTCGTGTCTGGGTCGTGGCCACTTCGGAATACGTCGGACCGGGATGCCCTCAAATTGCCAGGAGCTGCGAAATGTGCGGCCCCGGTCGCCTCGGTCCTCAACAGCCTTGGGCGGGGCTGGGGCTTGCCGGCGACATGTGCAGATGAAGCATACTAGACTCGAGCGTGCATCTGCACGTCTGTGTGCTAATGTATCTTATGGAGTTCAGGTAACTCCTCTCTCTGTCGTTTAACACACGTACGCGGCGGCATGATGTACCATGTATCTATATATATATTATACACACACACAGATATATATATATATATACATACATACATATGATGATGAGGCAGAAAACACAGGCAGATGTCTACTTGTGATATATATATATACACATGCCTAGCTACATAGCCATATATCTATCTACATCCGTTTAACCGTCTATCCAAGTATCCATCCATCTGTCTATCCTGCTAAGTATCCTTCTATCCATCCATCCATCCATCCATCCATCCATCCATCCATCCATCCATCCATCCATCCATCCATCCATGCATCCACTCATCCATCCATCCATCCATCCATCCATCCATCCATCCATCCATCCATCCATCCATCCATCCATCCATCATCCATCTATCCATCTATCCATCAATCTACCTA